GCCTTTGTTGAAACTCAAAACTCCAATGACCTTATGAACATGAGCATTCTGGGCATTCTATTTTCTTACGTGGATCTATATGTATGTTTATCCCGAGGCCATACTACACTATATTGATTACTGTAGCTTTATAGTAAATTTTGAAGTCTGGTAGTGAGAATTCTCTTTGTTTTGTTAATCTTTTAAAAGAAAATGTTTTAATTTTCTCTATTTTTCTCTTTTCTATAATTACTGCTATTTATTTCCTTCCTTCTACTTACTTTGGGTTTACTGTTTTTTGGTTTTATTTAAACAATGTAGCTTCTTAAGGGTGTGGCTTTGTGTTATTTGTGTTTTTGTCTCTTCAGATATAAACATTTTAAAGCTATAACTGTCTCTCTTGTGTACTGCTTTAGCTACATTTTGCAAATTTTATAATAATATCTTGTATTTGAATGTTCAGTTTGAAATATTTTCTAATTTTTTTGTGTGTGATTTCTTCTTTGACTTGTGGTTTATTTGTTATGTGTGTTTAGTTTCCAAACATTTGTTGTTTTTTAGATAGTTTAGTCTTGGTTCCTAAAGAAACTTACTTGTGGTCAGAAACATATTTTGTAAGATTTCCATTTTCTTTTTCAAATTTACTGAGACTTTTTAAATGGTCTGTCAGTGGTCTTTTTTGGTCTATGTACCATTTACAGCTGAAAAGAATGTGTATTCTGCAATTGTATGTAATGTTTTATAAATGTTTATTAGGTTAAGGTGGTTGTCTTATTCAGATCTTCCATGTTTTAATACATGTCTCATGGAGAGAGCATATAGTTGGATCTTAGTTTTGTATCCATTGTCAAATTCTCTCCCTTTTAATTGGAATACTTAGTTTAATTTTAATTGGAATGCATAGTCCAGTTTATTGATATGGTTGGATTTATAATATGGTTGTATGTATATTAAGGCCTGCTATTTTACTATTTGTCCCAGAGAGTTGTTGTTACAATATTCCTCCTTTCCCACTTTCTTTTGGGCTATTAAATGGTTTATTTTTAGGATTCCATTTTATTTTATTTAACTTTTTTTATGGGGGCAGGGCAGGGGAAAGGGTATGGGCTGTGAAAGAAAGAATTCTTATTTGACTTTTTATCTATTCCTTTTTGCATTATTTTTATGATGCCTCTAGTGACTATAACATACATTCTTAAGTTTTCACAGTCTACCAAGAGTTATTAATGTAACACTTTTGTAAAATGCAAGCACCTTAAAACTGTAGAATTCTACTCTCCCCTCCCCTAGTCCTTTTTTCTGTGTCATCTTATATATTATATCTACATATGTTATGAACCTTACAAAATATGTTGCAATTTTTGCTATAAACAATCACATGTTTTTTAAAGTTTTAAGACAGGTTAAATTTCTTATATTTACCCACTTTACTATTTTTGATGTTTTTAATTTCCATGTGGCAGAAGGACTCTAGCATTTTGTAATGTAGCTCTGCTAGTGATTGATTCTTATTTTTTTGGCTTGAAAATGTCTTTATTATGCCTTCCGTCTTAAAGTATATTTTTGCTGAATATAGCATACTAGGTTTTTTACTTTTCTTTTAGTGCTTTAACTTCATTCCAGTGTTTTCTGGCCTTTTTTTTTTTTTTTCTGATGAGAAGTCCGCTAACTTGTCTTTAGGTAGCTTAGCGTTTTTCTCTTGCTGCCTTCAAGATGTTTTCTTGGCCTGGCCCAGTGGCACAGGCCTGTAATCTTAGCACTCTCAGAGGCTGAGTTGGGAGGATCGCTCAAGATCAGGAGTTGGTAAACCAGCCTGAGCAAAAGCGGATCGCTTGAGCTCAGGAATTCGAGACCAGCCTGAGTGAGAGCGAGACCCCATCTCTACTAAAAAATAGAAAGAAATTAATTGGACAACTAAATATATATATATATATATTTAGCCAAGCATGATGGAGAATGCCTGTAGTCCCAGCTACTTGAGAGGCTGAGGCAGGAGGATCACTTGAGCCCAGGAGTTTGAGGTTGCTGTGGGCTAGTCTGATGCCACGGCACTCTAGCCCAGGCAACAGAGTGAGAGACTATCTCAAAAAAAAAAAAAAAAAATTTTTTTTTTTCTTTATCTTTGGTTGTCAACAGATTAACTGTGATGTACCTAGCTTTTCTTTTCTTTATACTTAACCTATTTAGAGTTTTCTGAGCTTCTTGAATTTGACCATATTTCATATTTTTGTACTCACCCAGTTTACTTGTTTAACTTATATTTCTTAGACCAGTTTTTTCCCCAAACTGCCAAGTATAAGTCATTAGTTAATAATGTCATTTAGTGATCCCAGTATTTAAAAAGGAATGGACATTCCAAAATAGAAACTAACAGAATGTATCTCAGTTAATAAAGTTACTGTTTTGTGAAACTTTTGTTTGAGTTACATGTGTCCTGGGTTGTGAAGTTAAATATATTTCTTAACTGTGATCGATGTCAAACAAGTTTGAAAACCATGGGTTAGATTGTCTGTGCTCCTTGACATTTGCCTTCCAGATTATAATCTTCCCATGGGCACCATTTGAATTCTCATGTTAGATGCATTTCATTCAGTGTGTTCTTGCTGAAGCCCTCTCATCAATTCTTCTGTTCAGTGAATTGGGGAAAAGGTCTTTGGTATCTTCTTGGGCACTTTAACCTGGCCTGTGACGTTATAGTGTTCTGCCTGCTTTAAACTCTTTAGGCTTCTGTATTTAATACTAGAAGATGGTTTTTCTTTTACTCAATAAACTTTTCTTTTTTATTATAATATGACTGTAAGACTCAATTTTGTCACAGAGATGGGGACGCATCACATTAAGAGACCATTAGCCAAATTTTAAAAAGTAAAAATAATATAAGTATGTTTTTTTATATTTACTATTGAATTGAGAAGCTAGGTTATAGAACATGGTTATCTTTTCCCATAGGCTCTAGCTTCTTGAAGACAATATATTTTGTAATAAATACTTACAAAGATTCTGTACTTAAGCATTTTTTTAAATAATATATTTAAAGAATTAAAAAGTAAGATCTCTTTAGACATTGTATTTATATCTAGTCTGCCACTAATATGTAAATAGTATTAAAACATGACTAGGGAGGAAATTCATTGTCTAATACTTTAGAGCTCCATGTCTAGAATCAAATACCTGGCTAAGATTCTCTTTACTTCCCAGCAACATGACCTTGGGCAACCTAAAACTCAGTTTCCTCATCAGTAAAATGAGGAATAACATCACTTTCTCATAGAATGATTATGAGGATTAACTTACATAATGCATGTAAAACACTTAGAATGAAACAGTAGAATATTCCTTTTTAGTTTTTCCCCTTAGCTGAAAGTTGAATTCTAGATCTCATCCTTAAGAATATTACTGTAGGATACCTCTGTATCTGTTCTTTGTGCTAATCGTACTATTTTTTAAGTGCTTGTTTACATACTTTTAAGATTCTTGAGGGTGGAGTCCTTACCTTGTTCATCTTAATCATAAATATTAGGCATTTAAATGAACTTAATGTTGAATCATTGAATCATCAGATTTACATTGCTGCTCTGAAAAAATTTAGGCATTCAGGAAGGTGAGTACTGTGATGGAAGTGGTTCTCATGGCAACTTCCTTACATACTCTGTGGAGGTTCACTAGTAGCTTTTTAGGTATTCTTCCCTGGAGAAAGGGAATCTTTAATATGCTTGATATAGGTTAAAATCTAGGAAAGTTGGTACCTGGAGCATCTGCTTGTCTTTTTCAAAGGAGATTTCAGAATATATAGCAATTAATAGAATAATTAGACAGGCCTTAATAGGTGACTCTTCAGTGCAAAACGCCAGAAGGAGGAAAGGACTGAAGAGGTTTTTGTCATACAAAGAGCAGAAAGAGTATCTGCTCAAAAGAATTGTAGAATCTAGGTTAAAAAAAAAAAAAAAACATTAAAAACTAAGTAATTGCTTACAAGCAAATTAGTGGATGGATGATCCTTGTTAAGCAGTAGAAATGGATCTATATCCCAAGCATTTTAGCAAGTAATTATAAATACTTTGCACCATTGTGTGGCTCTTACCTCTTTTCATCTCATCTTGCATTAGAATACATTAGTCTGCAGCTCACCGGAAGTGCTGAGCTTAACCAATGCTGAACATGTTTTTTAGCTACTTTGCTGCTTTTGCTGGTTGAGAGTATATGTGTCTTAGTGACAAGGAAAGCATTTCAGTTTTAAGCCTTAAATGGGATTTTTTAAGTGAAAGGAAGAAAAAAAATCCTGGTGCACACAGATGGGAAAACTTACAGGTGTAAAAACAACTCGATAAAAGGCTAACTTGATTAGTACAGACTTTAACACATTGACACACACACACACACACACACACACACACACACACACACACCCACCCAGAAACTTTTCTGTGGGACCACAGTGTTTTATTATGAAAATAGAATAAAAACTTTGAATGTAAAGGTCAACATAAATAGAAAAACGAAGTTCATTGACTTTATTCATGTAATTCACGTTTTTAGAATTGTTAATATTAATTGTAACAATAAGAGCATCAACAGTTAAAATTTTATATGTGCTTCACATAGCCCCAGAGTCAAAACTAGAGTGAGTTAAATACAACTGTCATGGCAGTTAATGTGTTAAGTAGGTGTGCAAAGCAGTTTTTTAAAAACTGGCTCTGAAGTCATAACATCATGTCCCCTTGTGTCTAGGTTGATATTTGTGTCCCCCACCCCCCAACTTCAGTATAAGTGACCAAGTTCTCCTGTGCTTCCTTCTTACCCATCTCCCATCTGCTTTTACCAGAGAACTAGAGATCATAATTGGTTGTCTCACTTAAGGCAGCTAGCCTTAACATCATAAAAGTTCTCTGTATTTTAACAGTCCAGTAATAGATATCAAGTGAATGATTCTCATTAACAAGCTAGCTAATAATCATTGTTGGAAGCATGTAATTGCAGTATGCAGCAGTGTTAAATGTTTATGGTTTGCTTTCTTTTTGTAGAACACAAAGTAATTATAGTGGGACTGGATAATGCAGGGAAAACCACCATTCTCTATCAATTGTAAGTATAAGTGTTTATTAACCAGTTTTCATTATTTTAGTTATTGAAATTAACCTTTTATAATTAATAAGGTGAGATACATTATAATATGATGGAAAAACTTAAACATATGGTTTTTTATTTTATCAAATGCACTATTTTTAGAAAAGCAAGTAAAATGGTTGTATGTTTGCTAAAGCCTTCAGAAACACTCATTGTTTTCTGGCCTTGAAAGAAAGAATGAATATTAAACTAATATAAATAAAGCACATATTATAGTGCTGGGGTAAGATGATAAAGTGGATTTCACTTAGTTTTTCCCACACTGAGGTTCATGTAAATAAATTGATATCTCTGGGAAGCTATTGCTACTGTCTTGACTGATAGCTCTGGAATCGTTTAACAAAGCCAGACTTGTCAAATCCAAAGAATGAGATCACCCTTGAAAACACTGCTGTAGTAGCTTGTAATAGGGAGAGACTTGAAACTCAAGAGAAATATATTAATACTTTAAGGAAATTTTAACAGCCCATGAATCCACTTGTCAGGTACCTTCCATTATCCTTTCAGTGCCAATGAAATGATCCTTGTTTAGCAATGGAAATGGATCTATAACCCAAGTATTTTAACAAGTAGTTCTAAAATACTTTGTACCATTCTGTGGCTCTTACCTCTTTCCGCCTCATCTTGCATTAGAAGTAGTTAGTCTGCACCTCACCAGAAGTGCTTCACTTAGCCAAGGTTTAACATGTTTTTCAACTGCTTTGTTATGGTTTGTTTCAATATGAATAACTTACTTATTTTTCTTTCATTCATTGGCCATTATGTATTTAAATATGACTTAGTCTTTAAACATCAAATTTAAACATTTCAGAAACCTATCATCTTTGTTGAAATAATCTTAGCTTCAAAATATATAAAACCCAAGGGAAAGTTACAAACCCCTTCCAACACAGAACTGGGATGTTATCAGCAAATACTTATTTGTTGAATGAATTAATTAATGTAGCTCATCCAATGATTATGATAGTACAAGTGGTATGAACACCAGTACTTTAAATATATTTATTGTTAATTTTAATTAAAATTTTTATTTGCCCATGGCCTTATCTTTTTAGGATTAATTTAGGTTATTAAACCTGAAGTAATTTTTATGGCTAAATCTCATATAGAGAGTCTTCAAAATTATGGATAGCCTACTTATTACCCAGTGGTTGCTACTTTTCAAGTAATAATATCACAGTCACCTAGAAACTTGCTCTTTCAGAATGGGGCATTGGTTCTCACCTAACAGATAACAGGACATGGTGGTATTAGAATATTTAGCCACAGAAAAGCAAACTCACACCACTGTGTTCCTTACTATTCAGGTCAAGCTTTCAGTTCATTCCATTAAAACAGTGTTTCTTCTGGAGTTGTTCTTTTTCTAGATATTTATTTGCACAAATGTTCCTATTTTTCATGCTAATAATTATTATCACCAGTACTTATTAGGAATATTGATCTTAAAAATATAGAGATAAAACGCTTCAGGTTCTCGAGATTTATAAGAGTTTTTTAATGGTGTCTTTCAACAGTTTAATGAATGAAGTGGTTCATACTTCTCCAACCATAGGAAGCAATGTTGAAGAGATAGTTGTAAAGAACACTCATTTTCTTATGTGGGATATTGGTGGCCAAGAGTCCCTGCGGTCATCCTGGAACACATATTACTCAAACACAGAGGTATGCTAAGATTACTTTTGAATTTTAATAAAAAGAACTAAGACAGAAAATAGGCTGTAACTAAGGCATATTGACAGTTGTCTTTTAATAAGATAACTTTTTGTAAGGAATTTGAGTTTTCAAGTAAAAGGCAAGTAGAAAGTATAGTGGGAGCTATTATTAGGTGAGTGCTTACTGTTGGCCAGACTCTCTGAGTTCATCCTTACAATAATACTGTAATCTCCAGTGTTGGGGAAATCTGGCACTAAAAGAAATAAGAGACCCTGATTAGGTGAGGAGTAAAATATTTCAAGCATAATTTAATAAAATATTTCAAATAACATGAACTGAACATTCAAAATTTTGGTTAGATTGCATTTTCTTTTTATTTTTTTTATTTTAGTGTATTATGGGGGTACAAGTGTTAATGCTACTTATATTGCCCATGCTTCTCTACCCCCTCGAGTAAGAGCTTCAAGCATGTCCATTCCCCAAACATTGCACATCTTACTCGTTGTGGTTGTATATACCCCTCATTTTTTTTTAAATTTTATTTTCTTTATTTTAAATTAATAATCAGTGGCTTTAATTTTATTTATTTTTTTGAGACAGAGTCTCACTCTGTTGCCTGGGCAAATGCGGTGGTGTCAGCCTAATTCACAGCAACCTCAAACTCCTGGGCTCAAGTGAGCCTCCTGCCTCAGCCTCCCAAGTAGCTGGGACTACAGGCACGCGCCACCACACCCAGCCAACTTTTTCTATTTTTAGTAGAGATGGGGTCTTGCTTTTGCTCAGGCTGGTCTTGGACTCCCAGAGTGCTAGAATTACAGGTGTAAGCCAACTGCACCCAGCCTGTATTTTAATTTTAAAAAACGAATTTTCTGGTCATCCTCCAAAATGCTCTGTCATTTATTTATTTTCTTAGTTCAGAGCTAACCTAGGGACAAATATGGCATATCCTTTATTTCTGCTTTTATTTGTTCCTTGAGGCAGATTTTTTTAAGACAATGCAGAGCTGTTGAGAGAGATTTATCTTTTGAGAATACTAGTGTACTATTGCATCCATATAATTTTTCTTTGCAAAGAGATATACTCAACCAACTATTTTTTTCTAAAATGAAACTTTTAAAAATTGGAGTTGGGGAGAGGGATATAAGGAATTTTTGGTGAATAAAGTTGCCTTTTTAAATAAAAAACAATGTTTTAAATAAAAGATGTTTTAAATAAAAAACATCTATATTCTAAATGTATATAGTAATAGCATGTATATATGTGTGTGTAAGTAGTAAACTAGGATGGCATTTCATAGATATTCAGTGCTTGTAGCACTTAATTATTTTACTGGGGGTAGAGAAGATGTTAGTAAGAACATAGTACGGTTATAGATTACATTTGTAAAGTAAAATAACATTTTGAAACTAGAATATGTTAGAGTAAGAGAAGTACAACATTTTAGTATATGATTTATTTACACAGCATAGCTACTGGTACTTTTTTAAAGTTCACAATTAACTCCAGGTGTGAAAAGAGCAGTTATCTTTGATGTACAGGTCAGAGTTGATTCTAGAAGACTTTGCATGGGTCCAGAAAGAGATTATGTTTTACTGATGCCATTTGCACGAAATGTTCTTTTAATAAACTATTTCTACAAGAAATATCAAAATTACTATAAAGAACAAAGGCCTTTATTGCAGCTCTCCAGCATAGCACATAGCATTTGCTGTCCTAGATTCCAGGTAGGGATCTGTATGGTATTTCACTAATCACTTTGTTCACCCTTGTCATCTTGCTTTTTGAAAATTCTTTATGTTGAGGAATCATCCAAAAGCTGCAATGTCTGTATTATAATACAAGAGGTTACAGGTGTTGGCTGATTCCTGACACCTTCCTCTCACTAACTTACAGTTACATCACCATATTGTGTCCATTTTTCCTTTGTCATCTTTCTCTCTTTTCTTGTATCCCTTTCTGAGCCTGTCTCACTTTATATTCAAATTGTCTCTCTTCCCCTAATTTTAAAGTTATCTCTATATTCTGATTCCACCCTTCCCATCTCAACTTATTTTGCCTGAATCCCCTCCTGTAACCCTTAGCACTATTTAACATCATTTCTTTTCTTTTGCATAATGTGTTTAAGGGCCCTTTCTCACTGTATCTTCTCTTTTTTTACTTAACAAAGTTGCTTTTTTTTAAATGTGCATGACCTACCTTTTTTTATGTAGATCTTTGCCAACAAATTTCTCTAGTTCTCCTGGCTCTCTTGCCTTTATTTAATTTCACCTGTATCTTCCTTTAGTATATTAGCACCCAAGTATTCATAGATATGTTTCAATTTAGCACAGTTTTTTTTGAGCATTTATTCTTGCTATTGTTTTGTAAAAATATCTTATTAGTTTTTTTAATGTTTATGTTTTTCTTTCAAAATAGCTTTAATAGGCATGAGATTGTACACATAAATAAGTAAACAATTATTGATCATTTATTTTTTATTTTTCTGGGCTTTTGTGGAGGTTTCATTATAATTATTGATTGTTTAAATGAATGATAATAGAGTACCGGTACTTTGAAGTTTTAGTGAAAGAGTATTACTTAAATTAACATAATTTTATTTTTTAAATTTTTATTATCAGCATTTGAAAGCAAATCTTAATATTATGTAGTATTATAATATATTCAGGCATCAGTGTTTTCAGAAAATAAACTTAAGCATGGTTTTTACTTGTTGAAATTGTAAGTTATTTTCTTATTAACATTTAGATTTTACTGTTTGATGTGATTCAGTATTATAAAAGCTCTTTATGCTGAAAAAACAGTAGGCATTTTATAGTAATGGCGATGCCATGTGAAGAAAGTACTTACATTACTTAAGTAGTTTTATAGAAAACTTTTCAAAACCTCACTCAATTTTCTTTCTTTTTAATTATCTTCTAGTTCATCATTCTTGTTGTTGATAGCATTGACAGGGAACGACTAGCTATTACAAAAGAAGAATTATACAGAATGTTGGCTCATGAGGTAAATTTCTAAAAGTAAATCTTTACAAAACAATGGAGTAAAGTATCTTTGGATTTTCTTTTTTACAAAGATTAATGTGGTACAATATTGGTTATCCCATCAACACAACTTTATACATTAAATTGATGAAAGTCTTGAAGTCAAAAATTCACTTTACTTTTTCATACTTAAAAAAAACTAGCATGTTAATATGTGCACTATTGTTATTACAAAAAGTTTTCAAAGTTAAAATTATGCATGCCTTAAAAAGTCTGATAAAATGAAATAAGAAAAAGGAAAACTTATATCTTTTCCCCAATAGCTTATAATAACTAAAAGATCTTTAATGAATAATTGGAGATGACTTAATTATAAGTATTTCAGATATATTAAAAAAACTAGACAGTAAAACACATTCATATACCTCTTATTCAGCATAAGATACGCAATGTCTTATGAGACCTCTCCAATCTTCTTCCCTTCTGTCTCAGAGATATCCACTATCCTAAAAGTAGTAATTATTATTCCTATGCATATTTTATAGTTTTACTACATTTTATGTGTCTAAATTATGCAGAATATTATATTCCGTATTCTTAAAACTTTGTGTAATAATGTCATAGGTATATCTTTTTTTTGCACAACATTGTGATTTATCCATGCTAATTTTACTACTGTAGTTCATTCCTTTAACAAGTGTATAGTTTTCCAGGGTATGAATATACCACAGTTGATCTATCTAGTGTTTTTATAGTATAAACAATGCTGAAATGAACATTAACCAATGAACTTATGTTATACAAAGACTAATAAGTAATAGGTATTGCCCAGCTCCTACCTCCAATACTTTATTTTAAATTTTGGAGAAACTAGTACTTGGAAACATACTACCGTATTTGCCCATTAGAATATTGCTCATGTAGTTTTGAGTCAATATTTAATGTTCAGGTTTATTTTCTTTTTAGTTTGACCCCTTTGGCCCATAAATAGAGAAATAACTTTTAATTAATTATTTTACTTAAACGTTAATGTGTCAGCTGGGCGTGGTGGCTCATGCCTGTAATCCTGGCATTCTCGAGGCCGAGGTGGGCAGATCATTTGAGTTCAGGAGTTCAAGACCAGCCTGATCAACAGAGAGAGACTGCTACATCTCTACTAAAAAATAGAAATAAATTAGCTGGACAATTAAAAAATATATATATATATTTTTAATATATATATATATATATACTTTTAATATATATATATAAAATGAGCTGGGCATGGTGGCAAATGCCTGTAGTCCCAGCTACTCAGGAGGCTGAGGCAGGAGCATTGTTTGAGCCCAGGAGTTTCAGGTTGTTGTGAGCTAAGCTGTTGCCACGGCACTCTAGCCCTGGCAACAGAGTGAAACTCTGTCTCAAAAAAAAAAAAATCTGTCTTTCTTAGAGTGAATCATTAAATCATGGGTTTTTTGAGATAGTGTTTTGTTCTGTTGCCCCAGGCTAGCCTTGAACTCCTGGGCTCAAGCACATGCCAAGGCAGCCTGCTAAGTGTTTTTGTTTGTTTGTTTTATTTTTTTGTAGAGACTAGGTCTTGCTGTGTTGCCCAGGCTGGTCTATGACTCAGGGCCTCAAGAGATTCTCCCACCTCAGCCTCCCAAGGTGCCAGGATTACAGCCGTGAGCCACCATGCTCTGCAAGATGATTTTTATTTCAATACAAATTTAACATTAAATATTATTGATCATTTTAAAGTAGACACATTTCTTTATACCACTTCAGCTGAGTATACTTTACTTTCTTGATTCATTAATTTGAATTATGATATTTCACATATTAGAAATATTTTGTCTTGGTTGCAGGATTTGCGGAAGGCTGCAGTCCTTATCTTTGCAAATAAACAGGATATGAAAGGGTGTATGACAGCAGCTGAAATCTCTAAATACCTCACCCTTAGTTCAATTAAGGATCATCCATGGCACATTCAGTCCTGCTGTGCTTTAACAGGAGAAGGGTAAGTGATAATCAGTCTGAGGGGAGGTATGCCTTTTTTCAAATTTCTTTCAGCTTTTTTAGGCCAATGTTTTCTTCTTGGATCATATTCCTTTCTTTTGTTGTTGTTCTTAATTAAAGGTGGTTTTTATATTGTGTCTCAGAGTTACAAGGTTGAAATAATTTTAGTAAAATCTCTTTTCATAACTTTTAATGTAAATGTAATGTTTAACCAAAATAAAATCAGTAATAAGCTTTTGAATTAATCTTTACAATCCAAAATTGTTTATATTCTTTGTTGCTTTTATCATTTACTGAGCAAAAACTAATTTCACCTGAATTAAAGAGGAAATTTAAAAGAAATTCTACATTTTCTTCAAGGACTTAAACCCAGTCTCTCGGTTTTTCATGAACGTACATCTCCTTTTTATTATCAGGAGTCCTTTTGGAAGACATCTTCTAGACAATAAATGTTTGAGACAAATGCCATTCTGGTTTAGTCTTCTATTCCTAGCAATTTGAATATGGATATTAGGCCAAGGAGAATCCAATATATGGATATATGGGTTACCCAGTTTGTGTCAGGAAACTAATTAACTTATCCCCAAATCAACCAGACCTTCTTAGTTTTTCTCTTAGTATTTCTCAGAAATAGCTTGCAATATAATAGCTATGTGTAGACCTTTAAAGTGAACCTTCCATTTAAAATTCTACTTACTATAGTGTTACTTTAATATTGACACTGAAGTATACAAATAATGATTGTAGTACCAGCCTTTGAGTTAGACTTAGTAAGTATGTTTTCAGTTTTTAAGTATAAAGTTTTTAATTTTGAAATACTTCTCTTTTGTTCAGGTTATGCCAAGGTCTAGAGTGGATGACCTCCCGGATTGGTGTGAGATAACTTTTTTGTTTGAAAGAGACTGCTCTATTTATTCTGTGACATGAACATTTTTTCCTAGTACCTTTAGCTGCTAAGGCAGCAGCATGTTTAATTTATAACAACACAAACCTCTATGAGCAACACTTGAATCAAGTGCAGCTGAACTGGAACATAAAAGATTTTTTTCTTAACTTTTTTTTAATGCACTAATCTTCAGTTGGATGAACATAATGTATAACTATGTTTTCAGCAACAGAATTCTTCTGTTTATTCTAATTATTCAGTGACTGCCTTTTAAGAAATGTTTGTCATATGTTTAATGTTTTCTGAAGTATTGTTATAACCTTAATGACCAATTTCTTTCAATTCTTGACCACCACTCCCTCCCAACCAGGTAATTACTAGCTTGATAGAGTAGTAGTGGAAGTCATCAGGTACTGCTTGCAAACTTCTCCAGCACTAAATATTTGCTCCCTCTGTAAACCATTTATCTTTGGGATGGAACTTATTATATAGAAAGAAATCTACCTAGAGTATATATACAAGGAAGATTAAACATCACGAGTACTTGCCTTTAAACTTCCACCACATATTGCAAGTCATGGAATAATTTTTAAGTTGCTATTAGCGTGGAAATTAAATAGGCTGTTTATTTATCTAAAGGAATTAAATTCATTTTTTTTCTGCCTACAACATATGGTCAAAAACTAATCAAGGTTAAATATTTCTTTGAAAGCCCAGCTTTAATGTTAAATACTGTTTGTTGGATAAATCTGGTATTTTAAGAGTGTCACAATATTCAATGCATATGAAACTATTGGTAGTTATTAAAGCATACCAGCACTAAAAATAAAATAAGACACTTAAAAATATATTTTACTATAAATTTAAAAACAACTTTATTATCAGCAAAAATTTTAGCTGTTCTATTTATATAAATAAGAGAAATCACATCTGCTTTGGGCAGTAAGCTAAAGCTGAAGTATGAAGAGTACATTTTTTTTTTTCTTAAAATTTGAAATTGTGTCTGTCATAGCATTTTTACCACCAGCAGTATATTACCTAAAAAAACATGTGGCTTTCCTTGAATCTGTTCGAGGGTGTTATGTAATAGATTTGAAACAATTGCCATCTTTGTAGTTTTGCCTTGAGCTCTAAAATCTTATAGGAAACTGCTGAATTTAATCCTAGCTTTTAGAATATTACTATGAGACTCAAAGTTATTCTTAACAACTCATAAATTAAGAAATAATTAAAGTGAAGAAAAAGTCATAATCAAAAGATTGATAGCATTAAAAAGTTTTTGAGACAGTTGTCTAATATAGACAATAATCTAAACAATGCATACCTTAAATTAAGAGGGAGGACAAGTACTGTAATTTCAATCCTGCTTATTCAAATGTGTGATTTTGCTGTAATGAAAGGGATAAAATGCATACTTAGAGAATAATACATCATTTTTTCAGTATTTTTTACCTTGGATCAAAAATGAGATTCAGTGTTCATAAGAATATCAAAATACCTGTCAAAGGTGGTACTTTGATTTTAATATTTTTTATTTGTAAGTTGATTTAAATTTCACTTTTTTTTTTGGTGTACTTGATTTATTATATTTAGTTAATTTAGTCAGATGTGGTAACATTTTTCTGATTTCTCTTTAGTGATAGCATACCCTTGAACTGAAAAATGGCCAGAGGAAAGCTATCTAGACTTTAGAAAATAGTTGTTTAACTTTGTTTTGAACTTTTTTCTTAGTTATTCTGTACCAAGTAGAGGTTAAGTTTAATTTAGTTTTTAATATAAACCATAATCAAGAACATGAGAGAAAAACAGACATAAATCAGTATGGATACTTGTGGTGTGTACGTAAGGGACTGGGAGGGAGGGGACTGAGAAAATGCCATTTACCTGAAGCACACTTTGCCTGAATTTCTACTTGGTTATATTGTTTACCATAAATACTTAGGATAATTCTCGTACGTCCTGAGAAAAAGCATATTTAGTACTCCTGTATTTGTTCTTATGAAATGATTATCTGCCTTCTTGTATTTAGTAAGATTGGCTGGCTCAATTTTCTTCTATCAAATTATATGGTTATTTTTTATATTACCACATCAGCATTATATTGAAAGTGTTTTTAATAGTTGATTATATTTTATCAAACAACTAGTATAGGCTCAAATTTACTATTTAATTTTTAAAATACAATTATTTTATTTTGTACATCCTTTTTTAAAAAAACATTTTATTAGTTTTGGATTAGAAATGATTTATGTTAGCCATGTGTTGAAGATTAAATTGGCATCCAAGTAGACTTTGTGCCAATTGGGGAAAGTTCAATTAGGAAATTCATGTAAGGCTTTTTAAAAGTATTTTTTATGTTTTCATTCACTCTTTCCTGTTACAGTAATATGAAAACTGATTATCCTTTACTCCAAGAGAATGTTTTGACCCAAGCAAGTACCTAATACTAGAGCATTGATTCTGACATTTATTGTATGTCAGCCAACGATAAGATACTGTCTGATGAAAATGTAAATTTGTAATTAGTGCCTTTATTCACATTTTGAGATAAGTTCTCAATTTTTTACTGTACCTGTTCTTTGGTCATCACATTAGCAGCTAATTAGTTTAGCAATTTGAGTTTCACCTTGCTCTTCAACTCCATATATTGCCTAGCAAAGGTTGTAATAAGTGAAAAAGCAAGGGACTCACCCACATTACCTTCAGGAGACTATTCTACCTTTTATTTTTAATTTTAAGCTGAAATCTTTTTAATATAACTAAAATGTAAAACTACCCTTGCAAGTTCAAATACGGCATTTTTCTTAATTTTGAATGTGTCATGTTCTTCATCTTTAAACCCCTCATTCTTATTGAAGCCCATTTGAGAACTCTTTTAGAATTAACAAGCTATTTTATAAGGGAATATACTGTATATTTTTATTGTTAATGTAATTTAATTCCTTAAAACCTGGAATATTTATATATATAATCTATTGAAAACTGAAGATTAAATATGTAATTTTCACTTTTAGTTTCTTGAATTAATATGCTTAAAGGTGTAATTACTTTTATTCTATATTCATTAGGAGAAAGATAATAAATTCAAATTTCATTACTGAAAAATTTTAAATGGATACCACCCCTACAGCCATAGTCATTTTGGTTACACATAATTTAAGTTTCATTATCTATAACAGAAGGAGAAAATAAAATTATTTTCCTATGGAAACTGAGTTATATATATATATAGGCAGTGCTGTAAACAATATTCTCTGAAGAGCTATGGGAGTCACAAAGCAAAGATAATGTTAAAGAAAACAATAAAAAAGCTTTTTTTAAAAAAATCTTTTTAGTGTAGTATCGTAGGACAAATTATAAACAGAATTGTTTCTAAATGATTAATCCTTAACTATGTAAAATCACATCAGTAAAAAAATGTACTGATATGCTTCTGGATGGATGAATTTCATTAGAATTTATCCTTGAAGACTAACTTTATGAGTCTAACTTTTCAACTGTGGCTTTGGTCTCACAAAACTTCACATCTAATTATATTCTAAAGGATCTTTTGCATTTTATTGGGATTAAGTCACTTCTAGATGCAGCATCTTATCTTGTATCTGATAGAATATTGTTCTGGCTATCCAATGAAGTGCATTTGAATCTAAATTTGGCCATTTGTCAATTGTCTAATTGACCCTGGACAATTACCATCCATGGCCTTCCTTTTATTTTTCCCATACTCAGAAACTTAAGCTAACTAGAACTCTAACAAGTCTTCTGGTTTTAAAATTCTGAATTATTAAAAGTTAAAAACCCCTAAAATATTAGGGAAATACACATAATATGAAATTCATTTTTATCTGTTACTCATTTAGCAAATGAATACAATCAAGAAGGGAAAAAAGTTAGCAGTTAGTACCTGCTATTCCACTTTAACTGAATGAATAGCTAATGACAGTGCAAAAGAGAAAACAAGCGATATTGCTAAGAATATATTAAGCTGCTTATAAAGCACTCATGTGTTGGAAATAGTGTTCTAGAGATTTTACCTTGCTTATTTTCCTGGTTTTACTAATTGGATGGAAATGGTTAGTTTGTTCAGAGTTTATTGCCTTTGGGGTCACCCCAAACTACAGTTCTGTTGGACTTTCCAATATTGAAAGGATAGTGTAGCCAGGATGTCAATATTTTATAAATGTCTGCATAAATCTGAAAGTGGTTTATAGTCATTGTTAGTTTTCAAGTAGTGTCTCATCCTTATTTATTTAGTATTACTATGAAGACTGAAATCCAAAATCCAGGTTCCCAAAAAAGTATTTTTTAAGAATTCTAGGTGGCCAAAGCCAAATAGAAAAAGTCAATATAAAAATATGTTCAAGTACTCTATTTTAAATTTAAAGTAGAAAAAAATGTATTCAACAGAAGTAAAGTCAGCTTTAAACGTGGCATATGTTAATTTAGAGTTTTAGAGGCATATCTAGAAACAAAGTCAAAACACTTGAAAGTAAACACAAACTTGGAGTAAGAGAATCTTCAAAAGGATATTAGGTAAGAAAACGTGTGAATGAAAGCAATGAATTTCTCCTCCTCCCCCTATTTAAGGCACTTAAAAGTACTAGAAATTATAGTCTTTTACTATGGAACTAGATGGCCTATATTTTTAATGTGGCCAAAAGATTGAAGACTGATTAGGTTTTTAGAATTTGGAACTGTAGTCACATAGAGGCATCGTTTGCATTTTTAAACCAGTAATCTACATTTTCTCCTGGAAATGAAGAAATATTAAAATGTGCTGTGTATAGCTTTTGGAACAAAAAACAAAGTTTTAAAAGAATGGAAATGTTTTCTTGCACAACTCGTAAAATTTTAATTAAAAAATTACCTCATTTTTCAATCCATAAGGTGCTTTGCTCAAGTTGTGGGATGGTGCACCATCCCATAAATACCCCCCTCACCCAAACTGTATTTGAAATATGCAAAATTCATAGCTAAGAGATAGCATTCCTTGGAGTTTTTGTTTTATTTTATTCTTTACCACCAGCAGGGCTAACATGATATAGAGATTAGATTCACATACGCTTTTCATTAAAGCATATGGGCAAGTGCTCAGTCAATATTTAATTAGTTTAATTAAATAAGGAAAAATCCTTGAATTTGATTGATTCTATTATACTGTGAATATATTTCCATCAGTGTTGGTAAGATATCAAATGACTATCAGTTGATCTCTACTATAAATGATTTATTTGCATGTTTTAGCCCTATTCATAATAGAATATAATCATTTTCATCTTCTTACATTTTCCCTCAGGAAATTCAGGGACTCTGAAGCCCCTATTTTATTCTCTTGGAGTAAACTGTTCAGTGCAGTTATAAAAACTTTTAATTTTTATTTTAAAAAAAGTTTAGCTGCTATTTCATTGAAAGTGTGAAATAAAATGATGGTCATGATTTTTTTTTCAGTTACAGAATAGTTATAAATTATACCCTGATTCATCTATTCCACAGAGCATAGTTTTTTAAAAAAGCAAAAGGAAAAGAAACAACAAAAACTAAAATCATTTACAGCCTTGCTCTTGCATTTATTCTAATCAGAGTGTAATGATTTTAATCACACATTGCTATCCTAACATAAATTGGTGCTTTAGAGCATTAAAGAGGAAGCAACAAGCGCTGTATTCAGTATATTTCTTGCCTCAGAATGTAAAGCTACTTTAAAATGTCTGTATTCATATTGGTGTGCATTTCTTAAGATTTAAATGCAAACTGCTGTTATCCCTTAAGACCAGGCTTTCTGCAAAAGCTCTAAATATCTTAATCAGCCTGGTTGAATAGAAGATTATATTAATAAGGTCAAAATTATGAAGTGGGTCCTATGGTATTGTGCTGAGGGGAAAAAATGTTTTTCATGCCACAAATTGTGCTTCTGAACCCCAACTAAGCAACTGAAATATATAAGTATTAACCAAAAACAAAAAAACAAAAAAAAACTAAAACCAAACAAATTAGTTAATGCATTCACATCATCACTTTTTGAAAATGGTTCAAAGCATGTTTTTCTAATGGTGGGGTTGCTTAAAAGACATGTTTTAAAAATTTTAATACTTCATTACTGTTATGAAATGCTTTTATGTGTTAAGTTTAGGTTACTGGTACTCATGATTTTTTATTTCTGCAATCATGTTATAATGAGTTGCTTGCATGCCTACTTACCCAAGTAAAAGGATGCTGTTTGCTCTGGAATGTTCATCGTTTAGACAGGTTTTCGCTCATTTGCAATCATGGTGCAATATAGTGTAACATTCATTTGTTTTCAGTCAACAGTTTTATTTTTGTCATAATAAATAATTACTTTTCCAATATGAAGTGAACTCAGTGTTTTCTTTTAAAGATAAAGTCTGCTTTAACAGTCTTTTGGTTGCATGTGATAGAAACCCACCTGTGCCAACAAAGAGGGGAATTGTATTATAAGGATAAGGTGGTGGGAGCTCATGGAACCAAAGGTCAGGAATACAACTGGATTTCTAGAACAAACTGGGACCAGAGACTGAAACACTGAGGAGAAACCAGGAAGGTACTCATCTCTTTCTCAGTCTTTCACTGGACTGGATTTCTTTGCTTCCTGATCCACATGGTAGATAATGTCTAAGTCTGGTAGCTATGTTTTATCTTTATACAAGGGAGAAGTTGGATTATTGTTAGATTCTTGGTTACAATTCCATATTCCCCAGGGAAATTGTTTATAAGCCTGCATTGGGTTTATTTACTCTCTCTGATCCAAACAGCTGGCCAGGTGGAAGATACATTTACCAGAGAAGGAGAATCTCTGGAGTGGAAGGTAGTCCAAATTGGTGTGTACTCCCTTGTGGGATATAATTGGGATTTAAATTCCTCTAAAGTTGTGGGTTTTGACTTCGCCTTTTTTTCACAGACCTCTTTGAGGATGTGATGAAAGCTGTCTACATAGAAAAATTACACATATGTGGGGTTACAAATTTTGTATAAAGGTTAGGAATTTCAAGTACCTCAAGAGTTCTGCTGTACTATAGAACATTCAGATTTCTTCTGAGAGAAATCAGAAATCAATAAGGTTTCATCCTGCCTATTTTTTTTTAATTTTTTTTTTATTTTGGCATATTATGGGGGTACAGATTTTAAGGTTTCAATAAATGCCCATTTCCCCCCCCCAAAAGTCTGAGTCTCCATCATGACCATCCCCCAGATGGTGCACATCTCACTCATTATGTATGTATATACCCGCCCCCCATCCTGCCTATTTTTTAATCAGCTGAATGTAAGAATCATGCCTATTAAACAGCTTTATGTAGGTATAATACATATTAAACTGTACATGTTTAAAGTATACAATTTGAAAACCTTTGGTATACACCCATGAAAACATCACCACATACTATTCCATAGTATAGAAGTATCAGTTTACTTATCCACTCACCTCTTGGTGGACATTTCTCACTGTTAGCTTGCTGGTCAGTAAAATGGCCTGCTGAATCCAGAAATGAGGTTCTAAACTACCAGGCTGAGTTGCCAGGATAGTCATATCCCTCTGATCCCAAGGCAGAGCAGGACAGGATAGGCCCTTGGTGCTTGGTAGTCCAGGTACCTGGGGTAGGTGGGAGGAGGGAGTTCATCCTTATCTGCCCTAGTTTAATGTCCTCCTCTCCCTCCACTCCCAAGTCACCTAGAAAACAGATAAAAAACAAGAACTAAATACTGATATTTTATTTGGGAGGTACAAACCCAGGGCATTGGGAATGAGAAAATGGAAGCAGGCAGGAGAGAAAAGGATGTAATGCAAGGTGATGTATTACTAAGCTGGGTGCTGCTTCATGACAAGCCTTAGGCACAGCAGGTGTGTCCTCTGGCTACTTGGTGGTGGTGTGGGGGAGGGTCTCCCCATAGGCTGTAGTATTTTGGAGAAATGGTGTCTTGGAGCAATTCATGGGAGGGAAGAAGAGGGAATTCATCTGCCTGGCTCTCTCCTGTCTCCTATGTCCTATTTGTCTAATTTTACACCATGAGTATTAACTCCCCCACTCTTCTGGGTTGCTAGTGGCAACTTGGGATGCCAAATCCCACACCCCATGGTAGGGCATTCCATCCAGGTTGGGAAGTGGTGGGAAGAGATAAATTCTGGGCATGTGGCTGGTGAGTGCCAGAGAGAATCTGCTTTGGTATATATGCCGGGACCAATACAGTCCAATAATGGTTTTCTCATTTTCCAGAAAGAAAACAAGGCATAGTGATCAAAGATCTTTCCTAAGGTCACATGGCTAGTAAGTGGTAAATTCAAGATTTGGACACAGTCTGGCTCTGGAAACTAGAAGACCAAGATAAAGAACTTGGATTTTATGTAGCAGGCAAAGGAGTCACTCAAGGGTTTTAAGCTAGGGAGTAATATGAAATACTTTTTAGTATTTCGTGAGCTTTTTAACAAAGCTCACATTCTCTACTGTGCTCCATCTTCCCATCTGGCTAAACTCCAGCAGAAGTAGGTGGCCCCGAGAGAGGTTAAGGTATTGAAGACAGTTTTTGAGGGTTTTGAGGAGTTTCTGATTAGATCAGGGCTTCATTTGAGCTTCAACACTGCCTCATAATCTTCCTCTGTCTTCATCTAAACCTACACCTACCAAAGAGACACTGGTTCTAGTTCCCACAGGAAATGGGAAGCCAAGTATAGACAGTTACTATGGAATTTGTGGTTGGATGATCTGCAATCACAGTGTTTAAGAATGTATAGGAAAGGTTCAAATAACTGATGGTCATAGTCAATACTAACATTTCCATGTTGAGCATTCCACATGCCAGGCCCTGTGCTAACTATGTTATATAAACTCATTTTTATACAACAACCATATGAAGATAAATGCATTTATTACTCTCTTAGAGTGAGGCAACAGAGAGGTTAAGTGACCTGCCGAAAGCTACAAGGTTAGTAGGTGGCAGAGCCAGGAATCAAAACAGATACATGTAATTCTAAAACTGTCAACTACCATGGAGAAGGTTCAAGAAACTTTAGCTTTGGCTTCATTTTCTCCTATTAGCAGAATGAAAGGGAAATGAAAGAATTTCCTCAAGATATGCTTTGCCCAAAGGGGGGATCCAAATAATGAATAGGCATAATGGAAGTCGCTTGGCTGGCAAAGACAGTTTGGATTCAGACCTGAGACCCTTCTGCTCAGAAGAGGTGGAGACAGAAGGCTCAGACAAGAATTTTACATTCTGAGAGATTCTTAGCTGTATGCCTGACTGAGCTAAATAAGGAGTCTAAATCCCTCTGCCTAAAAACAAAACTAAAATCAAAAGCAAATGCAAACATGAACAATGGTTTCTTTTAAAATCTCGGATTTTAAAAAAAATTTCTTCCTCATCAATGTTATAATTTCCTTTTTTTTTTGTGAATTTATAACTTACATGAAGTACATAAAACTATGTGCAATTTAACAAATGAAGTAGTGAACATATATACCCACCCACCACTTATTATTGTCTTTAGTATTTCTTCATGGGAGTGGCTGGCTTCATGTGTTTACTGTTACCACCCTCATTCAAGAGTACTTGGGACCATGTGACACCTCCAAGCATTTCCCAGGGTGGGATAGGATTATGACTGGTCCTCCCCTGAAACCCAGAGATGGCCACAATAATGGATATGCATGTTATTGTGATAAGGAGAAATCTGATAGGGAAAAAGACTTTGATCTCTTTTATTTCCTGGAGCCTATGGCATAGAGATTGTCCAGATCTGAGCTCATAAGGAAAAGCAAAGAGTCAAAACAATTCAGCCCTGATAAATTTTACTGAATGGTAAAATCCTCAGCAGCAATGGACGTTAATGCCAATCAGTTATAACTTCCAGTGACCCAGATGAATCTCCTCTGTAGATAGGCCCCTGCCTTCTAGATGAGACTCCTTTGGTGATAGCTTCCACTAAGAGACAAATTTTAAAGCATTTCCTTATGGGAGAAACTGATACCCCTGCTTTTGAGAGGGAAGTAGCAATCCAGATATGTGCCCAGGAAGGTGAGATTAAAAAAGGTTTTATGCTCCAGACTGAAGAAAGGAAAAGACTGTCTTTTGGCTATAATTCCCATAGGTAAGCACAAAACTAGTTTAAAACCAATTTCAATCAATCGGCAACAGTCTCACATGGATGTATATGTCTCTCACAGTCAATCAGTGATGGCTCAATGCTTCAGAAAGTCAACCAATCAGTAACAGTGAGTGACCATGCTTCCACTTTGGGGGAAATTTTATAAGGAGCCTGAAACTCTCCCAATCCCGAAATTCCACTCAAAACTGTATATAAGATCACCTCTTGTTTTTTGTTCAAAAAGACTAACCCTTAGCATGGTTCTCAAACTATGACATCAGCATCAACTAGGAACTTATTAGAAATGCGAGTTCTCAGGCCCCATGCCAGACTTCTTGTATTAGAAACTCCAACTCTTCCTTGGTTTGGAAGAAATCTGTTGTCAGATATTGACTGATGGGGACTGCGTGAGATGGCTCATCCAGTAATCCCGGAATTTTGGAAGGCTGAGGCAGGAAGATCATCTGAGGCCATGAGCTCAAGACTGGCCTGGGCAACATAGCAAGACCTGTCTCTACAAATAATCAAAAACCTTGCCAGGTGTGGTGGCTCATGTCTGTAGTCCTAGCTACTTGGGAGGCTGAGGCAGGAGGCCTGCTTGAGCCCAAGAGTTTAAGGTTGCAGTGAGCTAGCTATGATGATGTCACTTTAGCCTGGGCAACAGAGCAAGACCATCTCTCTCTCTCTCTTTTTTTTTTTTTTGGAGATAGAGTTGCCTGGGCTACAGTAAAGTGACATCAGCCTAGCTCACAGCAACCTCAAACTCCTGGGCTCAAGCAATCCGTCTGCCTCAGCTTCCCAAGTACCTGGGACTATAGGCATGCACCACTATGCCTGGCTAATTTTTCTATATATTTTTTTTAATATATTTTTAGTTGTCCAGCTAATATCTTTCTATTTTTTTAGTAGAGATGGGGCCTCACTCTTGCTCAGGCTAGTCTCGAACTACTGACGTCGAGTGATCCTCCCTCCTCCGCCTCCCAGAGTGCTAGCATTGTAGGAGTGAGCCACAGCACCTGGCCACTATCTCTATTAAAAAAAAAAAAAAAAAGATTTTAACTGATAGCCTCTTTCTTTAACAAAGTGAGACTATTGTTTTTTCTGCAGGAACCAAGCACATTGTGAGGAGAGAACTGGTGGAAGGGACAGGGTGCAGCTTAATTTATCAAGGATAGGGAAGAACCCTGGAAGAGGAAAATAAGAGTTACTCAGCCTAACATTGATTGAGAATTCAGGTAGAAAATAAGAATATTAGCCACTGCAATCTAAGCTCGCTGGAATCACAATAGGAAAGAGAGCCAGCCTAGCAGACTCCAATTTGAGAGCCTAGAAAATTACAATGCTTTAACCTTTAAGGTGAGACTCTGTATCTCCAGGCTAGTGGTGACAGTGAATGAGAAACAAATCCTACCCAGCAAGTATAGTGACTGGGAACACCTTGGGAGTGGGGAAAAGACTTTGACATCCTTAGCAAGCAGGTTTGGTAGAATGCAGAATCTAACAGTTGCCAGGGATAGCCCTTTCTCTTTTTGTTTTTTTCTGATACACTTTATTTTTAGAGCATTTTAGATTTGCAGCAAAATTGACCAGAAAGTATAGAGATCCCATATGCCACCTGCCACTCCCCCTCAACACACAGCCTCTCTCACTATCAACATTCTGTACCACAGTAGTACCTTTGTTATGATCAACTAACCTACATGGACATGTCATCGCCCGGAGTCCTAGAGTTTACTCTTGGTATTGTACATTCTATGAATTTTGACAAATTTGTAATGACAAATTTGTAACATGTACCCGCCACTATTGTATCATACAGAATAGTTTCACTGCCCTAAAAATCCTCTGTGTTCTGCCCATATACCCCTCCCTTCCATCCAACCTTTAGAACCATTGATCTTTTTACTGTCTCTATAGTTTTGCCTTTTTCCAGGATGTCATACAGTTAGAATCCTACAGTATGTAACCTTTGCAATTGGCTTCTTTCACGTAGTAAAAGGCATTTAAAATAAATTCATGCCTTCTAATTGCTTGATAGCTCTTTTTTTTTTTTTTTGGTCTCTCTTTCCCCAAAGCAACTTTTTATTTGTAATTTTTTTTTTAGGTTGAAGGGTAATATAGGTACAGGAAAGCACACATTCTAGAAGTGGACAGTTTAGGAATTTTAACAGATTGAAACTATGCCAGTTGCCAGCACGCTGATCAAGAAAGAGAACAGCTATTAAGTGCCTCAGAACATATCCCTCACCCTATCAAAGCATCTTAATTTATTTTTAATTTATTTCAACTAGTTGATTTTTTTTTTTTTTTGAGACAGAGTCTCACTCTGTTGCCCGGGCTAGAGTGCTACGGTATCAGCCTCGCTCACAGCAACCTCCAATTCCTGGGTTTAAGCGATCCTTCGCCTCAGCCTCCCAAGTAGCTGGAACTACAGGCATGCGCCACCATGCCTGGCTAATTTTTTTTATATATATATATTTTTAGTTGTCCGGCTCATTTTTTCTATTTTTAGTAGAGACGGGGGTCTCGCTTTGGCTCAGCCTGGTTTCGAACTCCTGACCTTGAGCGATCCACCCACCTCGGCCTCC